TAAATTAAACTAGCCATTACATCTGCTATAGTAACAGAGCAATGTGAAGCCTTAAGACATGTTTGACAACTTGAGTTAACCCAGTTTACCGAATCAAAAGTTAATTAATTCAGTCCATAATTAATTCCCCACTTTGGAAAATAATTGGACTAACACGTAAACCAGCAATTATATGATTATTTTTAGGGCTGGGCATATTCGGTTCGGTTCGGTTTTAAGCCCAATCCGCATCCGATCCGAATTTTTTGGATTCTCAAAACTCTCATCCAGATCCAGATTTTTTCCCCTTCATCCGAATATTCGGCCCAATCGAAATTCGGATCGGTTCGGTTCGGTTTCGGTTTTGAACCGAATTAACTCCATTTCACAAAAATTTGCTCACACGGCATTGTAGACAATATTATGGAGAAAGCATAAAAGCATAACTGCTTCATTATATCAAAACATGCATGCTACTGATGTTAATCACAGTAATAATTGCGTATGATCACCTTAAACACATATAATATACGTTCATGATGGTAACCTGATAAATCTACAGTAATGAGAAGAATAAAATTTCCTTCAACATTTAGTAAACAGGATGTGAAAGTGGGAAAACCATTCTTGATAAACTTGAGTCCAGCCTTAGTTATGAACAGATGCAGCTCATATTTGACTACCTTGTCATCACGGTACAAAGTGTGCAAAATACCATAGCTAGGTGGTACTCACAAATATAGAAATCATGATATCTGATAAAAGACAACATAAAATTTAAGGCTGCAACTTACTAGTATTAGTAAAACTAAGACTCATCAACGTCAATAGTGCAATACCTTGGATCTAGAACAACTGCAATGAGAAGTTGGGAAGAAAAATGGAGTTAGGGTTAGGGATTTTTTAGTATTTGTATTAGAGAATTCGGTTCGGTTTTTTCGGGCCGTTTAGGGGTTCAAACCGAATCCGGACCGGTTTAATTCGGTTCGGGCGGTTTAGAGTCTTCTTCTCATCCATTTAATCCGGTTCGGTTAACCGGCCCGCTTTTTCGGACGGTTTTTTCGGTTGAACCGGTTTTTTTCTTAACCGGCCCGCTTTTTCGGACGGTTTTTTCGGTTGAACCGGTTTTTTTCGGTTTTTGCCCACCCCTAATTATTTTGACTTTAAACCAGATCATAATTGTTTCACCACCTACCTCTCCCTTACCAGTACGTACTAAGCTGGTTTAGACTCGTTTTGGGATTAGAGAGGGTTAGGCGAGTTGTAATACTCAAGACTCGACTAAATCCAATTTTTTAATTTATTTTGATTAGTCTAAACTAGATCATCATATTATTAACATAACACACACATCTGATTTGAATTCCGAAAAGTTTTTAATTTATATATGTTTCTCATCAACAACTAAGTTTACACGTACGTACGTAGTAAAACTAGCCGCATTAATTTACTTTTCTCCCATATATGGTAATAAGTTCCAAACCTACAGCATGCATGTGAATTTTTGCCTCACGAGCTTCCAAAACTTTAGGCAGGAATCCAATAGGTCCCCCCACTGGCCAAAGCTACTTATACCTCCGGTCGGGGCTAAATCGGGGAATTCACCAACGGTAACGCGGTAAATAGAACAGTCGGATCAACTGCGCCCCAGATTTGAAGCATCGTGGAATTAGAAATAAGTACGTAAGTCCCCGTTTTCACCCTCCGTAACTTTTATTTCCATAATGACGAAACAGTTCCTTGTGCTTCTCTCGCTGTCACCCTTTTCCTCTGTTAGGTGAGCCATTAATTTCCAAGGGCAAGACAGGAATTAAGAAAATCTAGAATCTGCATGCCAGCTGGATCCCAAGGCCGTGCCTGCGTAACTGGGACCCACGGGATACGGTATATATTGAATTGTATACGTATTCGTTTTAGTTAAAAAATGTGTAGAAACTAGAAACTAGAAAGGGTCTTTTAGCAGGGTATTTTACATATCTACCACCAAATCCACCTTATTTACAACTTTGTCCCAAATGTCAATAGTTGCTAACCAAGGGCCAAGGCTCCTAATGCAAATCCTATGTAGCGTTTCGAATAGGATTTATACCCCGAATCTCCCAAAAATGATTCAGTTAATTAAAATCTAATTATGTGAATTAATCTTATTAGTTTATAATTATAGAAACAGAGAATGATCGGGAGGTCATACTTGCTAATTTACTTTTCCCAAAATCCTCTCTTCCTCACTTTCTCTTATCTAACTATTAATTTAATACCCATCACGGGTAGCGCAGGTGGTTGGGAGAGACAATGGTAATACTCTAATATTCCTAAGTTCCCGGTTCAATCCCTATCCAGAAAAAAAATCTATAATTTAAATATAATTAATTAACTTAAGCCATTAGTGAGTTTCACAAAGATTTCCCCAAACTTCAAGAATATTATTAACAAAGTTTAAGGGTTTGTTTGGATTGAGGGGAATAAGGGTGAAGGGAAGTTAGGGGAACCATTCACCTCCATTCATCTTGTTTGAGAACATTTAGGAGGTGAAGTTATTCATCCTAGTTCCCCTTGGTTCACATTCTAATAGTATAAAATTTGTTACCCCCCAAATTGGGGTGTAACCAATGGGAAGGGATCTCCCTTCCCTTCCCTTCTATTCTCTCACCTAGTTTCCCTTAACTTTCTTTCACCCCCTACAAATCCAACCAGGCTCTAAGAGTGTGTTGTGGACTAACTCCGTCTTGGTCCATAATTGAACAGGTTTAGAAGCCAATCAATGAACTAAAATATACTAGTTCACTTCTTGACTAGTTTTTACCAATCAACAAAATAGTCTAAAACAGACTCTAAGATCAAATGAAATAAATGATCGCCACTCATAGTTTAGTTTTAAAAAGAAAAGAGTTTACAAGTTTTTGTTAGTTAAGCATTGAAAATTGTGATTGTTAAGCATGGAAATCATTGTTTTGAGTTTCATCATGAACTTAATTTGCCGGTGATAAATTTTCAAGTATCGGTAGATTTGTGAAGGTCTTCACAGATTTTTGGAATTTACAAAGTGGCGTAGATGAGTGGGAGTAATGGGACCCATGTAACAGAGAGTGGGTCCCATGTGATACCGAGGGATGTTGATGTTAATGGATTTGTTTGATTTTTCTATTACACCCCCTAATTTTGGCAATTTACGATGTTTCTTCTTGTCGCTGTGGTTTTGATATTTCAACCCTTTCATGCGAATATCTAGCCACCAATACAGAAGCCTCTACAAAGAACTCAGAGTAGCAAACCTTACCTATATTTGTACATACCACCAAATGTGGGTGAATATATCTAATCGTGTATCACACTCTTGGTTCGAACTCAAAATAATTATAATAATAAATAAATAAAATCTTAATTAGAAGATTAATATGTTTAGCATTTCATCTACTTGTGTTGGATGATTGGCTCCACAAGATTTTATTTGAATGCCTCCCTTTCTCTATTTTTCAGAAGATTACTATGTTTGGCGAGAAAGTTTTGGTTCAATCGTAGTGATTTTAGTATTCCAAAACCGTCCACTTCTCTAATCAGAAAACATGTAAAGTTGAATGGTTGGAGACTTTTTTCCAAAGCCAAAAATTTATCACATCCTTCCCAAAATTCAAACTCTTGACCATAGGGGTGGAAACGAACCAAATAATTAACAATGTTATAGCTCCTAAAAATGCTAAATATTAATATCCATAGAGAAGTCGACACATGTCTTACACTCTGCCTAACCAAACTAATTCAAAACCAGGATACCATCCAACTCTGCACGACCAACTTGATTGGCCGACATCTCGCGTAACTGAGTCAAAAGACAGTACTATTCGGCCAACCTCTTAATTGACGACTAGCGATACGATTCGGCCCACTATTCAGCCGACATCTCACATCACCAAGTCAAAAGACGGTACTATTCAGCCAATATCTCAATTGACCTCTAGTGATATGACTCGACCCATTGTTCAATAGACATCTCGCGTAACCGAGTCAAAAGGTGGTACTTCTCGGTCCTAGATCTGAGGAGTCGAAAGACGACAATTAACTCGAACCTCTCGCCAGCTAACTACTCTCGCATTAACTGCCCTGACAACATCATCATTACCCTAGCCCCTGTTTGTGGAAAATTTGTAATAAAAAGACAGTGAAAGAAAATTGACTTGTATTCTCTCAAAATCGATTACAATTTGGATTTCTTGATTACAAAAGAGAGGAGAACGAATTTGATTCTCCCCTTTGTTTAAAACTGGGTTCTTCTTGGTGGCGATGGAATGCCTCCCTCGAATGCTCGCGTCGAGTTTGCTCTCCGTTGACGATCCGACGTTTTAATTCACTGGAACAGATTCACTGGAACAATATCTTCTCCTCACGATTCGACGCTGTGGAGAACTT